TGGAATAATGCGCCGGCAGCGCCACCTAGCTGCAAACAAATCGGACACGGTTTCAGACCCCCTCCATTGTACAGCGTCTATGGGAAGTGTATCCACACGACGGACCGGGCCGCGGACCGATTGATCACGTGATGCACGGCCCGCGGGCCGCCCGGCTGCAATGAGCATCCACACGGCGGACGAAAAGAGCAGGCGACAGAGTGAACGGGCCGGTCTAACCCTCGACCTCACAGCTCCGCCAAACGCATGCAGCGAGCTGCTTTGAGGCTATTTGTAAGGAGCCAAGATGGAGGTTGAACGAAAGAGACGTTTGGCCGCGGTGGCCCTGGCGTTGACTATTGAGGAGGAACCGAAAAGGGTATGCATCTATTGTCCCACAGAGCAGGGAATTGCTCCACGAGCGTGATGAAGTAAAAAGGCGGGCTGGCAGGCGCACTCGCGTACGGGTTTTAACCTTTCTGCACAGCCGTGCACGCCACTCAGGATCAGATTTTTTGTATGCAAATAAATATTATTATTATTATTAGTAGTAGTAGTATTATTGTTGCATCGTCGCACCATGCCGCTATCGTCGCACAACAAAAGGTTCGTCTTCTTCGTCTTCAACAGTTGGCGCCAAAAGAACACGACTTTGGATTTGGATTCCAATCCAAACAACAAAAGTCAGCTTGTTGCCAGACTTAGCACTTCAATTACACTAAAAACACCGCGGTCCGCCGCCAAGGTCCGGGCGAGAAAAGTCGCTTGGCATTTCTCACAAGCGCGGGCCGCGGACCGCCGGCGGACCGCCGGCGGACCTCGAAAACCGGTGACGTAAGATCACGTGATGCGCGGCCCGCGGACCAAAACAGCAATTTGGTCCGTCGTGTGGAGGCACCTTAACTGATTTGATCTAGTAACGGTGGTGGTGGCAGACAAAGCGCGAGACAGGGAAGCAAGATCCGACTGCAGCGCCACTAGTTCTCGTGACCGCCACCTGGGTCACTCGCCTCTGCAGGCGAGAATAGGGAGCTGCGAAACTGAGCTTGCTCCAGTAACGTTGGTCCGTCTGACCTAGAGCCACTAAGCCACAAGCTACACTAAATGAGCTGGGCTCATTTAGTATAGCTTATTTAGTGGCACTAGTCTGACCATGGTCGGACGATCAAATAGCGTGACCAATATTGTGGTACGAAACTTTTTCAGCTGCCTCCTGAATTTCGCTTCAACTCTCTACGAGGAACTTATTCCTACAAATAAACTACCGACGCCAGTAATAAGATCTTGAAGACAGTTTCCTTGCCGTTCATTTTTGAACAATTCGGCAAAAAAGTGCCTCACTGACGAGCAACACGAAAATTGCATGGACACCAGCGCCTCACAAACATGGTGGAGTGAGACCAGCCGTCGGAACTGGTGCCACCGCGGCCGGCTAGCGCCCGTTGACATCTTAACCCCTGGTGCCACCAAATTCATGCGCAATGACCCAGTGCCAAAATCTCAGGGCGAGTAAGTCTGCCACACCGGAAAGGACACATCGCGCTGGCCGCCAGTACAGTCCGACCAGGCCATAGGACGTAGGGCTATTGGAGAATGGCAAAGAGAGACAGCTCTTAGAATGCAACTCTTGCAGACTTCACATCTACGATGCGTGGAAGGGTGTCCGCTGCGAGCACGTCATCTGCACCGACTGCATGGTACGGATAACACAGGAGCTCATTCACTGCCAAATCTGCATCACGCTCTGTGTCAGGGACGGAAGCCACACCCTCTGCATCGTGTGCTTCGGCTGCGACCTTCTCTGTCGCTGTCCCGAACGGCTGGAGCTGGCTCCGCTTTCCGGTCCTGATACTATGGGCATGAAGTCCATTGAGTTTTACAAGCGAGTCAATGGAAAACCCTCTGCAGTGGCCGAAGGCTACTGCCTTCGGCAACCTGCAAGCAACACAGAGGGCGAAAACGTCATCTACAAGAAAGAAGTAAGGCGAGAGCGCCATGTGGTCGAGGAAGACGTCGCGGACAACGATTTTGAAAAAAAAATCGAGAAGCTTTTTGCGCGACTGCAGACGTTCGACCAAAGGCTACAGGTAGTGGAGGGTAGCTATGAGAAAATGCAAAGCAAGATACAGGACTTGGGAAATTTTCTGCCTTCACAAGCGCCCTTTCAGTTGCAGTATGGTATCCAGCCATCTACAGCCTCTGGGCTACAGTATCCCAGCTACAGACAGCGCGCTCAGACGGCTTCGATTCCTGGCTCGACGTTTCTCACTCAACAAGAACAGCAGCAACAACAACAACTTTACTATGGCCAGTACCAAATGGATCACCAGGAACAGGCTTACCAAACACCGGGAGGAATTCCTGTACGAGGGATGGAACAACAACCTGGTATTGATGGCTTATTGTTTCAACCAGAGTTACTGGAGCAAATACGTCAGCAGATCAGTCCGCAGCCAAACTTATATTTCCCTGTCGACGCCGAAAAAAATCCTCTGCAACCAAAGGCCACCGTGGCTGTGATCCAGCTCAGGAGTGCTCTTAACCCTGAAAATAACAAGTATAGCCCCGAGGATGGGTCCTA